ATGATATATTGAGGAGGAATAAGGGTGAATTGCTATTATATGGTGGGATCGGGTTGCACGTCGCAACAGGAGGAATAAGGGTGGATTGATATGGAGTAATAAGGGTGAATATTCATATTGATATTGAATATATGGTGGGACCGGGATGTGCGCCGCATCAGTTTGTGTGTTTATTTATCTTTCTTCTACTGTACATCTATTCTGTAGTTTTATATTTCACTTAAGGCTTGGTTATAGCTGGATACTGATAAGATATTTGGGTTCTATATTTTTTCCTTGCAAGTTACTGTTTTATTTTGTTCCGTTCTTCTTTCTGCTTTTATTATACACTGTATGCAGGTTATATTGTAAATTCCCCGCCGTAGCCTTATCATTACCTCGTTGAGGTTAGGCTCGGCACTTACTAGTACATGGGGTGTACTGATACTGCACTCTGCACTTTTTGTGCATATTTCGGAGCAGGTAGTGGCTGATTGAGAGGTTGGCTTCAGGTTACACGGTGTGGAGACCCAAGGTAGTCCTGCTGGCGTCCGCAGGCCCAGGAGTCCCCTTCTACATCTCTATATTACTGTTTACTTTATTTCCGAAACAGTTGTAATTTCTTTCGGACTGATGTTTGTAGAAAATCATAGTGTGTCCGTGGATTGTGACATCGAATTCTAGGTAGTAATAGCAACAATATTGGTAATAGTATATAGACAAAGAGGCTCCTTACTTACTTCCGCAATTATTTTTACTTGTTTTAGTTTATTTACCCTTAATCATTGAATCGTAAAGGAAATTGGTTAATAATACTCTAACGTTGGCTTGCCTAGAAAGTGTGATGTTAGGCGCCATCACAGTCCCGATGGTGGGAATTCCGGGTCGTGACAAGTTGGTATCAGAGCACTAGGTTGCCTAGGTCTCACAATTTACGAACAAGTTTAGCAGAGTCTAAGGGATCGGTATGGAGACGTCTGTGCTTATCCTAGAGTCTACATAGTTTAGGAACAATTTCACTTCTATTCTTCTCTGTCGTGCGATTTGATCGCTCAATGCTAATTGAACTCTCTATTCTTGTTCCTTCGCAATTGGCGAGAACACGTACCGCTTCATCAGCTAAGCAGCAGCCAGAGCCCCCGGTGGAAGCTCCTACGAGGGGTAGAGGACGAGGTCGAGGCCGTGCTAGAGGCCGAGTCAGGGGTAGGGATCAACCCAGAGCTCGAGCAGCAGCACCGGCGGTGGAGCCTCAAGTAGAGTTTGATGAGGAGGCTCCAGCCCAGACCGTTCCAGCAGGGCCAGCTCAAGTTCCAGAGGGGTTCATTGCTACCTCGGTACTTCAGGGTGATTTGGTCCATCTAGTTGGCCTTATGGAGAGTGTTTCTCGGACCGGCACCTTTCCTATAGCACCATCTGTCTCTCGAGCTAGGGGAGGAGTTCAGACTCCCGCTATTCACACTCCAGAGCAGATGGCTCCCTAGTTTCAGACTCCAGCAGCTCAGCCAGTTGGGGCAGTTCCGCTGGGTGTCATAGCACAGACCGGTGACGGATCAGCCATGTCTTCTGAGGTTTTGTTGATATTGGACAAGTACACCAAGCTCTTTCTAGTTCAATACAGTGGGGTAGCTTCTGAGGACCCACAGAATTATCTTGACCGCTTCCATCAGGTGCTGCGGAACATGGGGATAGTGGAGACCGATGGGTTCGACTTTGCTGCGTTCCATATGATAGGGTCCGCCAAGAGATGGTGGAATGACTTCTTGTTGACTAGACCAGCTGGGTCACCTGCTTTGACTTGGGACCAGTTCTCTCAGATATTTCTCGAGAAGTTCCTTCCTGTTACACTGAGGGAGGACTATCGCAGGCAGTTCGAGCGTCTCCAGCAGGGCAGTATGTCCGTCACTTAGTACGAGACCCGCTTTATTGATTTGGCTCGTCGTGCTCTTCTTATACTTCCTACCGAGAGAGAGAGAGAGAGAGAGAGAGAGAGAGAGAGAGAAGGTTTATTGAAGGACTTGCTCAGCCTATCAGATTGTTGATGGATAAGAAGACAGGAAGTGAGATTTTTTTCCAGGATGTCGCCAATGTTGCTAGACGAGTTGAGATGGTTCTAGCTCAGGGGTGTGGTCAGGGGTCTGACAAAACGCCGCGTCACTCCGGTGGGTTCAGTGGGGCCTCATCTGGAGGTCGAGGTGCTTTTGGTAGGGGCCATCCTCCCAGGCCGTTTCATTCAACACTTCAGACATCCCATGGAGCTTCAATAAGTCGTGGTCCTTACGTACCTTCTTCGGGGCAGCCATCTTACACTACACCACCAGCTGAGATCAGAGCACCTCCTATTCAGAGTTATTATCGCGGTCAGTCTGCTCGTCCGGGCCAGTCTCAGTTTCTACAGCCACAGTATTAGGATGGATGTTTCGAGTGTGGTGATTATGGGAATATCCGGAGGACCAGTTCGAGATTAGTAGGCGTTCTGCCACAGCAGCAGGGTTCTCGTGCCATGATTCTGGCACAAGGCATGCCACCGCCCACTCAGCCAGCTAGAGGTAAGGGTCAGGGAGCCAGAGGTAGAGGTCAGGCCGCTAGAGGTGGAGGCCAGGCCGCGAGAGGTGGAGGCTGTCCCAGAGATATGGTTCAAAGTGGTGGGGCCCAGCCCTGAACTTATGCTTTCCCAGCCAGGCCTGAGGCTGAGTCATCCGATGCTGTTATCACAGGTACTGTTTCAGTTTGCAGTAGAGATGCTTCGGTTCTATTTGATCCAGGGTCTACATACTCTTATGTGTCATCTTACTTTGCTTCATATTTGGTTGTGCCTCGTGATTCTTTGGGTCCTCCCGTGTATGTGTCCACGTAGGTGGGGGATTTTATTATTGTAGATCGTGTCTATCACTCGTGTGTGGTTAGTAAATGAGGCCTTTAGACTAGCGTGGATCTCCCACTTCTCGATATGGTTGATTTCGATATCGTTTTGGGGATGGATTCGTTGTCACCTTATCTTGCTATATTGGACTGTCACGCCAAGATCGTGACCTTAGCCTTGCCGGGGTGCCTCAATTAGAGTGGAGAGGGACTCCTGATCATTCTACCAGCAGGGTTATCTCTTATATGAAGGCTCGGCGTATGATCGAGAAGGGGTGTTTGGCATATTCGGCTTATGTTCGTGATAGTGCGGAGGTTCCTTCCATGGATTCTGTACTAATTGTTCGGGAGTTTCCAGAGGTATTTCTTGTATACCTGCCGGGGATGCCACCCGACAGGGATATTAACTTCTGTATTGATTTGGTTCCGGGCACTCAGCCCATTTCTATTCCGCCATATCGTATGGCCCCGCCAGAGTTGAAAGAATTGAAGGAGCAGTTGCAAGATTTGCTTGATAAGGGCTTTATTAGACCTAGTGTCTCGCCCTGGGTTGCGCCGGTGTTGTTTGTAAAAAAGAAGGATTTATCGATGAGGATGTGCATAAACTATCGGCAGTTGAACAAAGTCAACATCAAGAACAAGTATCCATTGCCGAGGATTCATGACTTATTTGATAAGCTTCAGGGTGCCAAGGTGTTTTCAAAGATCAATTTGAGGTCTGGCTACCATCAGTTGAGGATTAGGGCATCCGATGTCCCTAAGACAACTTTTCAAACTCGGTATGGGCATTATGAGTTTCTAGTGATGTCATTTGGGCTAACAAATGCCCCAGCAGTATTTATGGATTTGATGAACCGAGTATTCAAGCACTATCTGGATTCCTTTGTGATTGTTTTCATTGATGATATCTTGATCTACTCCCGCAGTCGAGAGGAGCATGAGCAGCATCTTCGGATCGTTCTTTAAACTTTGAAAGACAGCCAGTTATATGCTAAGTTTTCAAAATGCGAGTTTTGGTTGAGTTCAGTTGCTTTCTTGGGTCATGTTGTATCAGCAGAGGGTATTCGGGTGGACCCTAAGAAGATTGAGGCAGTCAAGGACTGGCCCAGACCCACATTAGCTATAGTGATCCGGAGTTTCTTAGGATTTGCGGGTTATTACCGTCGGTTTGTGGAAGGGTTCTCATCTTTAGCATCCCCGATGACCAGGTTGACCCAGAAGGGTGCCCCTATCAGATGGTCGAACGAGAGTGAGGCGAGCTTTCAGAAGCTCAAGACTGCTTTGACAACGACACCAGTGTTGGTATTGTTGATACCCAATTTTTCCCTAAGTATTTTTATATACTCAAAATATCCTCAAAATAGCATATACATGCATATATAAGCATTCCCAAAAGTTTTGGTATTTTTCCTTATTTTAAATCAATTTATTGTCTATTTTAACAGTACAAAATCCAATAATTATTCCCAAAATTATCATTTTTGTGAATAACATATTTTATTCTCATATTTACACCAAATATAATTAAGGTAATTTTTTGTATATTTTTACAAATTTGTTTGGTATTTTTAAAGCTAATTGCATATAAAGGCAATTGTAGCCTATTTTACGATTAATAGTGTTTTATAATTGTAAAATTAGTTCTAATATTTTTAAATTAATACATATGTATTATTAATTGGTTCAGCATCTTTAATTTTCCTTTTAAAATCATTTTCATTATTTTTATAAAATAACAGGGGGTAAAAAATTGGACTATTTCAAATTTTTGGTCCACATTTCATTCCAATTATAGCCTCAATTTCATTTTAATCTTAAACCCTAATTGGCCCCAATCCTAAATGCCCCAATTGGGACCAGCCCAATTCCAATTTAACCCAACC